GATCTGTTGTATTTGGAATCAATTATCCTAACTGATTTGCTGCGCATGTTTTGGTTTCTGGTGATGTTGCACACCTGCTAAAGGCACTCTATAAATACTCTCGTCTGGACTTGAAAGACGGACTGGAAAAAAATGGAGCTGATGTCCTTAGACCATGGATCTATCAATTATACCTCGCCACTGGTCGCCATAGAAACTACAGTATATTCCTACTTAATGGAATTGGCAAAGCTTAAAGCAGAGAAAAGCAAAGTGGAGAAGAAAAAATGAACAAAATGAATAAACAGAAGCTGAAAGGAAAGTGTCCATGAATGAGAGGCACAATAAATACCGTAGTACAATATTCAAATTGTCGTCACTTTGTCACTTGTTCGATAGTTATTTTTAATATTTAACTTTTTAAATATTTTAAATTTTTAACTAACTTTATTCTCATTTTATACTAACCCATAGCCTTATTCTACTTACCCATTGCATTAGCATTTCATTTTATTTTATTACTTGTGCACTGCTGTCTTGTTGTCTATTGTCTGTTTTGTGTCTACTGTCACGCACCAACCGCCAAGACAAATTCCTTGTATGTTTGACATATTTTGCCAATAAATGTTTCCTGATTCCTGAAATTACATTATATATGTTATGTAGCTGACACTTTTATCCAAAGCGACTTAAAATAAGTGCATTCAACCATAGGGATACAAACTCAGAAGAGCAAGAAACAAAGTGCAATTTCCTCAAATAAGCCAATTTACAATTTGCTATAGATAAATTGTACTTATAACGCCACTTAAATGCGACAATTTGTTAGTCTTTTAGTCAAGGTAGAGTCTGAAGAGGTGTGTCTTTAGTTTGCGGCGGAAGATGTGAAGGCTCTCTGCGGTCCTGGTGTCTTCAGAGAGCTCGTTCCACCATTTCGGAGCAGGGACCGCAAAGAGTCGTGATCTAGTCGAGTGTTTTGCTCTCAGTAAGAGAGGGACAAGCAGTTTTGCAGAGCGGAGAGTGCGGGTCGGGATGTAGGGTTTGACCATGTCCTGGATGTAAGCTGGACCTGATCAATTCAGAGCATGGTATGTGAGCACCAATGCTTTGAACTGGATGGGGACAGCCACCGGTAGCCAGTGAAGAGAGCGGAGGAGTGGGGGAGAATTTCGGAAGGTTAAAGACCAGTCGAGCTGCTGCATTCTAGATGAGCTGCAGAGGTCGAATGGCGGTAGCGGGGAGACCTGCCAGGACAGTCGGGAGATGACAAGAGCCTGAATCTGTACCTGGGTTGATTTTCAGATGGTGAGCGGACATCCACTGAGCGATGTCAGTCAGAGAGTGCGCCAGTGTCCGAGTGAGGGAAGGAGAAAATTAGTTGTGTGTCATCGGCATAACTGTGGTAGGAGAAGCCATGCGAGCGAATGACAGCGCCGAGAGAGTTGGTGTAGAGTGAGAAGAGGAGGGGGACCCAGGACGGAACCTTGAGGAACTCTGGTAGTAAGAGGACAAGGTTCCGACACTGATCCTCGCCAGGTTACCCAGTAGGTGCGGCTGTCGAGGTAGGACGAGAGAAGGGAGAGAGCATGATACATGAAATCATACTTTCATGACTGGTTATTTGTCTGCCTATACCAGTGGTTCTCAAACTTTTTCTGTCGGGCCCCACTTGAGGAAGAAAAATGTTAGGGCCCCACCGCCCCAACAAAAATGGTCCATGCTGAATTTTTCTTGAAATAATGACATTTTGTGATTTTGTGTGTGCTTTTATTAATAAAAGAATAAAGAAAATTTAAGTCAATTTCATGTAAACCAGATTGCTCAGTCAAAAACAAATAAAATGTGCTAAATAAATTGTTGGAACAAAGCAAATAAAGTTGTGCAAAAAAAGAACTAATATTTGTCAAAAATAGCCTAATTAACATGTCTTGTATTGAATAGTGGCTGAAATGAGCCTGCTTTCCACTACAAATCTTTGTAAAACGGGGTTGTAGACGTGATACAACCACTCAACCATTCATTCATCGACCATTCATGCTCAATGTTGAGCCTTAATCAATACTTTGTTTTGAGAGAGGCCACAGCAGAAAAGTCGATCTCATGTCCTTGAGCAAGTCTTGCTCAAGGACACTGAGACATGCAAACTATGGAGAGAACACGGTGCCCCAGTGCTTCACAGCAGCACACTGCTCCTTAATAACTAAGGATGGGTGAAATGCAGAGAATAATTTCCCCATGAGGGATTAATAAAGCCATATAAATAAATAATTTCAATTTCTTTTACATAAAAAAAAATAAAAAAATCGACATTTCCCAGAGTCCCTCACGCCCCAACAGAGGGTAGCGCCCCAAGGTTTTGAGAACCACTGGCCTATACCCAACAGCTTTTATCCCACGATGATATAAATTGAAATTGCCTGAAATGGCACAATATGCTTTGATGATCCTGGTGGAAAGCTCTTCTTCTCCTTTGAGTACACAAATGAGTTGTTAACTGGTGGCTCAGATGGTCATGATTCCTCTTTGTTTTCCTACTCATTAGACCATTCAGTCCCCAATTATGTGAGTGAGGCTACTGTGGTGTAGTGGTGGAAGGGGCCATTGTTACGAGGGGCCGTTTAGGATTTAACTACTGAGACACTCTCACGCACACTACTGAGACACTCCTACGCATACTAATGAAACACTCTTACATTCGCTACTGGAACCATGGGAAGTGGTGAACAGTTGTGGATACGGTCCATTCGGTATATGAACAGTGTTGGGCTGGGTTATCAATGGGCCTTTAAATGGAATCTGCAGTAATGATGAAATGAAGCTTTCCTCTGTTGTGGTGAGTCGAATTTCAGTGTCTGGAGTCCTCACTCATTTCAGACAAGAACCTGTGGCATGTATGGGTGACATCCAGGCAATGTTCCATCAGGTGAATGTGGCAGAACAAGACAGAGACTTTCTGCGCTTTCTCTGGTGGCCGGAGGGAGACCTCAACAAAGAACTAGAAGTCTGCAGGATGACAATGCACATGTTTGGGGCAGTGTCCTCACCCTGTTGCGCTAGCTATGCACTAAGGAAAACTGCTGATGATAATAGCTCTGATTTTTCTGCAGAAACCGTTCAATTGGTTAAACAAAACGTTTATGTGGATGACTGTTTGCGGTCTCCCCAGAGCTCAAACTGAGCAAAGCAACGAGTCAAAGAGCTCGGTGCTCTCTGTAAGAGAGGTGGATTTGTCTCGGAGAAGTGGATAAGTAACAGTCGTTCAGTGCCGCAGAGCATTAGGAAGGATCTAAAAGACAGACACAAGCTTCCCATTGAAAAAGCTTTGGGTCTGCTCTGGTGCGTAGAGTCAGACTCATTTAAGTTCAAGATGGAAGTCAAACAGTAGTCTCTGTTACGTTTTGGGGGTGTTTGTGTTGGTTTGTGTCCTGTCTTTCCATGTACAGGAAATCTGCAGGGAAGATGGCTACCCTTCACCCAAGGTGTAGCCGATTGGATACGACCGACCTGGACTCCTCCCCTTCATTATTGGATGCAGCTGGTGCAGGTCTATAAAGACCTGTCATTGTAGATCTTTGGGGGAGAGTTCTGCAGCTCTGATGGCAGAGCGCTTCTGGTGGCTCGCTGGTGTCCTCTCTCATGGTCGTTGGGGTTTGTGAGTATCTTAGAGAGAGAGCGAGAGCGAGAGCGAGAGCGAGAGAGAGAGAGAGAGAAAAAAAAAAAAGAAAAAAAGAAAAAAAGAAAAAAAAGTAGTTTGGTTTGTAGTGGTGGTGGCGTGTGTACCTACTAGCATGGCTGCTCGTTTTTCTAGCAGCTCCATCCCTTGACCAGCTGGGAGGGATGCGCAGGTCAGAGTTATTCGCCGTCGCCGATCATTATAAAATCTCCGTCCCAAGGCAGGCCCTCAAGGCAGAGATGTTAGAGTTGATAAAAAAAGGGTTGGTTCACCAGGGGGTTTGTGAGGGGATGGACGAGGGCAGTGAGGCCTCAGGTGAAAAGTCTGGGGATGAAAAGACTGTGGGTGCACTGCTGGGCTCGAGTACCGACTGGCTCGCCTAGAGATGGAACGAGAGGAGAGGGAAAAGGACAGACAATTTGAACTTAGAAAGAAAGAAATAGATGCAGAGAAAGAGGTGCGAATCAGGCAGCTCGAGTTAGAGGCGGATGTTCGGGTTCCGTTAGCTCCCAACCTCGGTCGGTTTGAGGTGAGCAAGAATATTGCGGTAGTGCTGAAGTACATTCATACTTTTCAGCATTTGAGCGTGTGGCTACGGCGTTGCACTGGCCACGGGAGGTTTGGTCCATCCTCCTGCAGTGCAAACTGTCTGGCAGAGCCCAGGAGGTTGTGGCGTCTCTCTCTCTAGAAGAGAGTGGGGATTACGAAATAGTTAAAGCAACTGTGTTAAGGGCCTACGAGTTGGTTCCAGAGGCATATAGACAACGTTTTAGGAACCACAAAAAGCCTCAGACCCGCACTTTTGTAGAGTTCGCCAGGGATAAAGAGACACTATTCGATCGCTGGTGTGCGGCTAGCAAGGTCAAGACGTTTGCTGAGATAAGGGAGCTGGTCCTTTTAGAAGATTTTAAAAACCATCTACCTGACAGAATTGTTGTGCATTTAAACGAACAGAAAGTGCCGACATTGTCTCGAGCCGCTGTGTTAGCGGATGAGTACGCTTTGACCCACAAAATGTTTACGGCACCGCGACAAGAGGCTCGACCTCCAACAACGCCTACAACAACATCTCATACCAGCCGTGTTTCTCTGGGTGAGACCAGATCTGCACAGGAGACACGTGAGTGTTTTTATTGTCATCGTCCCGGTCACCTCATAGCGGTGTGTCCGGTTCTGAGAAACAAGAAAGCTCAGTCACCGGTGCGATCGAAAAGCATAAACTTAATACATTCCATGTCTCAGACAAACAGCAATAATACAAACAAGGGTGGGGAGAAGCCAGATCAGGCGTATGCTCCGTTTGTGTCAGGTGGGAATGTGTCCCTTACAGGGGAACCAGTTGGCCAAATGAGCGTCACCATACTGCGTGACACGGGGGCAGCGCAGTCTTTAGTACTAGCAGACAGCCTGCCCTGGTCCCATGGGTCATACTGTGGGTCAAACGTCCTTCTACAAGGACTCGGAGCAACCCCCATGTCTGTACCACTGCATTGGGTCTGGTTAAAGTCCAAACTAGTGTCGGGACGTTTTCGTGTTGGCGTGGTACCAACTCTGCCGGTGGAGGGAGTCACATTTCTGCTTGGGAATGACATTGCCGGTGGCCATGTAACACCCATGTTAGAGGTGGTGGACACACCTACCCTGGAACCTACGGACGACATTTTAGTACAGGCTTACCCTCATGTGTTCCCAGCTTGTGTGCTTACACGGGCCCAGTCCCGTAGGTTGGGAGACGAGGTGGACCTGTCAGACTCGATTCTTGAGCGTGTGAACGTGGAGCCAGCCCAGTCCAGTATTTCCACTTCAATGAAAACTGCAATAGGTAAGAGTGGAAGTGAATTCCAATTACACAATATATTGTCATCGATAGGCTCAGAAGGAAGACGTTAGTCTGAAGAAATGTTTTGAGTAGTGATTTCTGAGGAAGCAAACACAAAAGAGGTGTCTTACTTCATGGAGGCTGGCGTTCTTATGCGCAGGTGGGCAGCGCAGGGTAACGTTCGGGGTTTAGGGGTTGTCAAGCAGGTGGTCGTCCCTAAACCATTCAGACAGCAAGTGTTATCCCTAGCACATGACCCTGCTTGGGCTGGGCACCTAGGAATAACAAAGACTTATGACAGAGTCCTTCGCCACTTTTTCTGGCCAGGTCTAAAGTCAGATGTTGTGGAATTTTGTAATACCTGTCATGAATGCCAACTAACAGGAAAAGCGAACCAGGTCATCCCTCGGGCGCCTCTGCACCCGATTCCTGTGCTGGGAGAACCGTTCGAACGGGTAATCGTGGATTGTGTGGGTCCTTTACCAAGAACGCGGAGTGGTAACCAATACCTTTTAACAGTGATGTGTAGTGCTACTCGGTATCCGGAGGCTATTCCCCTCCGTACCATCACAGCCAAGACTGTAGTTAAGGCCCTGATCAAGTTTTTCTCTACATTTGGCTTACCGAAAGTACTTCAGTCAGATCAAGGTTCAAATTTTATGTCAAAACTGTTTGTAACCTCTCTAAAAGAATTGGGTATTACTCACCAGGTCTCGAGTGCGTATCATCCGGAAAGCCAGGGAGCACTCGAGCGGTGGCACCAGACCCTCAAATCGATGCTCCGAAAATACTGTATGGATAATCCAAACTGGGATGAGGGAGTGCCATTTGTGTTGTTTGCTAGTAGGGAAACAGTGCAAGAGTCGTTAGGTTTTAGCCCTGCTGATTTAGTGTTCGGACATACACTAAGAGGACCGTTGAAGGTTCTGAAGGAAAACGTTTTGTCCCCCACGTCTGTCAGTGCCCCTAAGAATGTGATGGACTTCGTTAGCCAGATGAGGGAGAGGCTACATGCAGCCTGCGCAGTAGCTAAAGAGTCCCTCTCGACTGCACAGAAGCGTATGAAAATGCGTTATGATAAGGGGACGGTTGAGCGTTCGTTTGTGCCGGGAGAGCTAGTTCTAGCATTGTTGCCCGTTCCAGGGTCGTCTCTCTCAGCCCGTTTCTCAGGTCCATATGTGATTGATAGTAAGCTCAGCGATACTAACTATGTAATAAAGACCCCAGACCGTAGGCGTTCGTTACGGACATGTCACATTAACATGTTGAAAGCATACCGTACACGAGGTCCTTCTAACACTCTCTCCACTAAGCCCATCCAGCCCGCTGTCTCTTCAGTGGCCACTGTTGCGCTGCAGGCGGGGGCGTACCTGGAGGATGACCCGGAGGACGGTCTGGAGTTAAGACATGCAGTGAAACCGGGTGAATGTATGGGTAATACAGAAATGTTGGGAAAGTTGCCATCCCTTTTGAAACATTTGGAATGTGAGCAGTCTCAAGAGCTTGTGTCCTTGATTAACTCCTACCTCACCTTGTTTCATGACGTACCTGGATGTACCACGGTTTTGACACACGATGTTGATGTAGGAAACGCGACCCCCATCCGTCAACACCCGTACCGGGTAAATGCGTTTAAGAGGGAGAAGATGAAAGGTGAGATTGAGTACTTGTTAAAAAACAACATGGCCAAAGCCAGTAACAGTGCTTGGAGTTCACCTTGTATCCTAGTCCCAAAACCAGACGGCACATCCCGGTTGTGCACAGACTATCGGCGAGTTAATGGTGTTACTGCACCAGACTCTTATCCGTTACCTTGAATAGAAGATTGCATCGACAGCATCGGCTCCGCGGTGTTTGTCACGAAGTTAGACCTGTTGAAAGGGTATTGGCAAGTGCCTCTAACCCCTCGTGCCTCGGAGATTTCTGCGTTTGTGACCCCTGACAATTTCGTGCAATATACCGTAATGCCTTTTGGCATGTGCAATGCCCCCGCTACGTTCCAACGCCTAGTAAATACTGTGTTTGCCGATGTTCCTAACTGTACCGCATATATCGACGACGTCGTAATATATTCGTCAACTTGGGCCGACCATATCGCTACGCTAGACATGGTGTTTGAACGTTTAGAAAAAGCATCCTTGACGTTAAACCTGGCAAAGTGCGAGTTCGGAAAAGCTACAGTTACATACCTTGGAAAACAGGTGGGACATGGGCAGGTTCGGTTGTTAGCTAGCAAGGTGGAAGCCATAGCTAGTTTCCCTGCCCCTGTTACGCGCCGTGAGCTTCGCCGTTTCCTAGGTATGGTGGGTTATTACCGTACGTTTTGCAAAAACTTTTCGACGGTGGTAGCCCCCCTGTCTTCACTTTTGTCACCCAAGGTTCCGTTTAAGTGGTCTCCGGAATGTGAGCATTCGTTCAATTCCGCGAAGCTACTCCTGTGTACTGCCCCGGTGCTTGCAGCCCCTGATTTTGGCAAACCTTTTAAAATGGAGGTTGACGCTAGCGCCGTGGGCGCAGGCGCCGTCCTCTTACAGGAGGACGGTGAAGGGATCGATAGACCCATTTGTTTCTTTTCAAAAAAATTCAGTGACTGTCAGACAAGGTACTCCACCATCGAGCAGGAGACATTGGCTTTGTTATTAGCCCTTCAATTTTTCGAAGTGTACGTCGGATCTAGTGTTGTCCCTGTGGTGGTGTTTACTGACCACAATCCGCTAATTTTTCTCCACAGGATGTACAATCAGAACCGCCGGCTCATGAGGTGGGTGCTAATTGTGCAGAGTTACAACTTGTGCATCAAATATACACACACGACGGGGAATGTTGTGTACAACCAGTTCGGTATATGATTCTTTGGGATTTCTGTCGCCGGTCACTCTATCTGCTACAACAGGAGCTCTACAGAAGAAATTGTGGATGGGATGATGCTAGCACCAGACATCTTGCAGTAATGGGAAATGTGGTTACATGAGGTCAAGCTGTTGTCATCCTTCAAAGCTCAAAAGCTGTTTGAAGCTGGAAAACTTTGGTGACCCCATATATAGCCAACTGCATCACTTTGCAGATGCCTGCAAATATGGCTATGGTACTGTAAGTTACATCAGGCTGAAGAACTCGAGAGGTGAGGATCATGTTACATTCCTTTTGGGCAAAGGTAGAGTCACACCTTTAAAGGCTGTAACAATCCCAAGACTGGAATTGACTGCTGCTGTCCTATTTGCCAGAGTGGATGCCATGCTAAAGACAGAGCTTCAAATCCAGCTTGATGAGTCTGTGTTTTGGACAGACAGCACGTCAGTATTGCAATACATCAATAGTAAAGATAGGCGGTTCCACACGTTTGTGGCAAATAGGATCTCAGCCCTGCTCAATAGAGGCACATTGGCACCAAGGACAATCCGGCCGATGCTGCATCGCGGGGTATGAACGTTTTTGAAAATTCAAAACTGGCTGGAGGGACCCAGTTTTCTCTGGAAGTCCGAGGCAGATTGGCCAATATGTAATCACGATGTTAGGGTGGATTCTGAGGATCCAGAGGTCAAGGAGGAGGCCTATGTGAATGTTACTGTTCATCTTATAAGTTACGTTTCATGTTAGAGAAGACTTAGAGTGGCAGTGGCTTGGTTCCTGAGGTTGAAAGGTCATCTGTTGGAGCTCAGTTGTCAGCGAAAGGCCTCTGGACCACAGACTGGTAAAGTGGGAAGAAAAAAGGCTACTGTTAAACAGCAGAGCGGTGTCCTTACACCAAAGGATTTGGAAGAGGCTGAACTAGCTGTTATTTGCTACTGTCAGCAAAGGTTTGCACCTGAAATTTCTTCACTGTTGTCTGAGAAGCACACAGTGAGCAAAGTTCCATTTACAAGCTGGATGCCATTTTGGAAAATGGACTCTTAAGAGTGGGAGGGAGATTGAGCAAAGGAGCGATGCCGTCAGAGGAAAAACATCACCTCATCCTTTCTAAGGAGCAGCACATCTCCAAGCTTCTTCTCAGGAACATGCACCAGCTGCTGGGACACACTAGGCGAAACCATACTCTATCTACACTCAGGGGAAAATACTGGATAACTGGATACGCATGCTGGGTAGCGTCATGTTACGCACGCTGGGTGGATGTATGTTAAACGTATGACAAGAATAAGTGGCAAATAAAATGGACTTATTTGCAACGTAACTGGTGGCGGGCGTGGTTTGGCTCAGCTACAGAGGGGACGGAGAGGGGAGTGGCTCAGGGAACGGTGCCAGGGGGAGGCATAATTAGCCTCAGGTGCAAGTAATCAAGTTGTGCTTGTATTGCAGTAGTGGAGAGCTGGCGACAGAGAGAGGATACTCAACCAGGCGAGGAGGCTGGAGCCAGACGTTTACTGTGCTGCAAAAATATAAAATAAAGATTGAGTACCGAAACCTTCTGCTGTATCCTCGTTAATCCGGGACCCCCAAAGGGCCGCACGTCACATTAACACAAAGGCTACAGGACTCTCATTCATGGTACAACAGCGGCGTGTCAATTCAGTTTCCGGACCAAATGCCTCTGTGGCTTAAAGCGTTGGCTTAGCCTCTACAGCAACTTTTTAAAATAATGACTGTTGGGTTAATTACAAACTCAGAAGTTACAGATAACACCTTTATACATACCTCAATAGGTCTGGAGGGTCTCACATACAGAGCCTTACACTTGAGTACTTTCTGGATTATACTGGCATCGAGTTGCTGGCCGTCCCTCAACCTTGGTGCGATCAACTTGTTGCCACAAGCCATCAGTAGTTCTCAGCTGTACACAAGTCAATTGAGAACTGTGATTAGCCATTTCCCACGATTGGAGTAGAACGATGTCACGTTAATGTTGAAGAGACACTTCTAGAATGTATGCAAGATCCATCAAATCTTATTTGTTTGCTTTTGTTTTAGTGATGTTGGTGGAAATAATTTAATAGTCTAATAATTCATTTATCAAGCCATTCTGGACGCCGTAAACCAGGGCTCTAAAGTTCACCCCTTTGGGTGTATAAGGGGTCTATTTAGGAGCACATCTACAAATTAGAATGCATTTGTAGATTTACTTCGATATAATAACCGTTGGGGCATTTGTGCTCCTTGGAAAACCCATGTACGTACGTTAGAGCCCCTTATTAATTTGATGAGTAAAGGACTCCGAATATAGTGCAATGGAGTCTGACTGGCTATTCTATCATGTGAACGCCACCTAGCTTTACCCCACATTGTCGGGAATTTTCTCCTTAAAAGCGTCATGTATTTGACGAAGAACTGCCTCTTGCTCCCAGGTTTTGTCAAACTCGAAAGCATTCAGCATGTGCCCTCTTTTGTATAACTGCTCTTCCGCTGCTTGACGACTATGCCGTCGGTAGGACTAAGCAGCAAAATAACGTCCTTGTTAAAGGACCGATGATACGGCGTTTTCTGTCG